TGTATTTATAGGTAATCCAACTATAACCTCTGAAGGAGAATCCAGAAGCGGCTCGTCCACAAAGGCCTCTGTAGTTTGTTGTTCTTCCGTTACCTCCACCACCATCTGCTTAGCCTGAATTTCAATCTCTTGTTGATTTTGCTTTTCTTTATTCCCCTCGTGTGTTATACATGGAGATGTTGAACCCATTTTAAAAACCTTATAGTAAAATTTTTCCGCTTTTTCAACAGTATTTAGTTGATATCTTTCTCCTTGATATCTCAGTATTATACCAACTGGAACATCCCACCTAAATGGGATGTTTTGTTTTTTTAGCTCAGTCACCAAAAATCCAAAATCCTTTCTATCTTTTAACATCTTGGGCGGTAACTCTTTAAATATCCAAATCTTCCTTCCATGCATTTCAAGAGTGGAGTTAAAAGACTTTTGCACAATATCATTTCTTATTTCTTTATCAGTAAAGTAGATCACCACATCTCTAGGCAACTGCCTTTGCTTTGCCACCCAAGAATTAACTCTGTAGGCCTTATCAATCTTGCAGGATACCTCTTCAGGACTAACCTTTAAAATCCCAGCTAGAACTTCAGCAGACATCTTTCTCAAATCTTCTCTTTTATCTTTCTGTATTCCCCTAATTCTGACCGCAAATTCCATAAATCTGAATTGCATCATTATGACTTCATTTTCAATCCTTTGTTTTATATTATCTGCATTGTGAGTCTTGTAGTCAGCTTCCTTTATTTTTGGCTCTACTTCTGAACTATTTTCTTGAATCATTGTTAAATCATTTTCAATTCTTTGTATTTTATTATCCAAATTATGAATCTTGTAATCAACTTCCTTCATATTAGACTCTATTTCTGAATTTCATCCATCTTTATCATTGCGTCTAAGAAACTTATCATATGTTGCTTGAATTTATCATACTTTTGTTGAACCAACTCTTTAATTTCCTGTCTAAATTTTTCAAGGTTCTAATTCACAATCTCATCATGTCTTGCCATCTCCTCAATACAAATTGCGTTAGATCTTTAAAGCCATTCCTCTGCATCTGCAAACTCAAAACTTGTTCATGTGATTTATGAATGGGGGAGCCCCCCCCCCACAGTTTGGTTGTCTGGCTTTGTGAGTTTTAACGCCATCCTGCCACACAAACAGATTTTTTTCCCCCTTTTTCCCCTTTAAAGAAAAAGACTTCTCTCCAAACAGTATCAATATCAAGTCTCTAAGAAGAAAAAAGCATGAAATAAGGATTTTTCTCTTCACTTCTAGCCAGCATTGTTAACTCAGTTACTTTGTAACATATTAAATTAGTCAAACGGAAGGACTTTCGCTTTCAGCTCTTCTCAAGCCTCAGCCAGTCGCCATTTTAAACTTTCTTTTTTCCCCCCTTCCACTCTTCTTTGCTTTTAAAGTCAGTCTTAGGGTCGTTAGAAGTACTTGCAGTTTAGGGTCCCAGGTCCAGACTTCATCCGTCTTATTCAAAAAATCTGTTAATTTTCGTTGGTTGGTCTGGTTCGATCGCCTGGCTCTGCAGAGTGCAGAGTTCGCCCGAAGCCCAGAGCAGCAGCGAGGAGAATAGGGAGCCTCATCCTGCTTCCTCCCCAGAGGTAAAAAAGAACTCTGGGGACTTCACAGAGGGCTCTACTTGCCCTCACCGGCTCTGTCTCACGTTTCCTTACAGAAACGGAGTTTTTCGAGCCGCCTTTCAGGTGTAAAGGCGGCTCTTTACGGGCGACGGGGCTGGCGGTCTCAAAGGACCGTCTGGCGGCGACAGAAGCCAGACCGGAAGCCCTGTTTATTTCAATTTCTAAACCCCTTGGATTTATCCGACAATCAGCTGTTTTTGACAGATTGCTTACATTGGATGGTGTATAAGAGATCCATCTACTGGAGAAAGAGAAGTACTACAACACTATAGTCGTAGTATATTTAATGAAAGCTAATCTAATACACACAAAGTCTAATACACAGAACAGAAGTTACAACATCTGATGAATGGCCTGACCTTGACTCTGTTTTTAGAAGACAACTGGGAAAATTCGAAAACATTCAATAGTGGGTTTTTTTTCTTTCCTTCTGAAGAGTTACAAAAGGAACTAATTTGCAAATAAAATCTTCCTAAAATTGACTATTGGATTATGGTTTGGAAAGACTGGAAGAACTTAGTGGACTAATCTGGACAAATTTGGACTTGGACTATTAATGTTATTTAATAGAATACTAGCTGGATAACCATGCTTCGCTACGAAACTATGTGATGGGGCTTGATAAATTTACACTTAAAGCTTGTAAATTAATGAGTAGTTATGATCGGCCTCTCCTGCCCCCTTCTCTGCCTCAGCCTTGCCCCACAGAAGTCTCCCCTATCCTATCCCCTGCTTGCTGCTGTGAAAGTAAAACTGAAAGTGAAACTCCTCTCCTCTGCTTGTATTTTGCATTTGGAACAGATTTCTTTTCAGGTGGGGAGGGGTAGTAGAACTTCTTAGCATCAGAATGTGTTAATCATAATATAAAAAATTCTAATGCTCTGATGGTCATTTCAAAAAATCCTTTCTTAGTGAGCACCTAGAAGCTAAGAGGAATATACGTGGCAAATTTCAAGTTTGTACTTGTAGGCTTTATGGTTCTGGAGATTTCAGCATGAGTGGTTTTTGCTTTTATATACATATAGATTCTAAGAGGCAAAAGAAGAAAAAGTCAGAAGAAAAGAGAGAAGAAGGAAATAAAACTTTAAAAATTTGGACAATTGGGGAAATATAAGTCTGTAAACTATTATGAAATAAAATGTGGGGTTTTGGAGGTATAACTGAGATTGATGTAACTTGATTAAATAGAAGTTTCTTAAATATTGAGATATTGGAATAATAGAAATATGCTTTTTATAATACTTTTTATAAGTATTATAAGTATTTATAAGTATTAAATCACTATAAAATGAATCTAGAGATGTATGAAGAAATATTGTGCGTGTTAAAAAGTCTGTGTGAATCCTTAAGAAATGACAAAGAGACAAAAGAATTGTTTAAAGATACAGAAATGAATGTAGAAGCTACTCAACAACTGGGGGAAAAAGAGGAACATGATATTCAAGAAGTAGATGAGAAACTAGAAAAAGCAGGGGAAGGGAAGAATAAAAATGAGAAGCAAGAAGTTAGGAACAAAGAGGAGAAGAGACTAATGAGTAGAAGAAAAATATATAACATCACAATTTATAAGGGTACAGAGAGAAGAGAGAAAAACCCCTTTAAAAAACAAAAACAAAAAGAAGTTTTCTTTTTCTTCTTTTCTTTCAAAAAGAAGGGAAAGTTTAGTAAACACAAAAAAAACCTAAAAAGAGATACAAGATTCTAAGAGAGAGAGATAAAAGACTGACCAAAAAAAAATCAATAAATGATGGAATTTTAGAAAGACTAAGAGATGATGGATAATGAGAAAATCTATATCTTTAAAAGTGAAAACCACCCACGCCGTAATCACGAAATCTCCAGAACTGTAAAGCCTACAAACTTGAAGGAGATAGGATAGGGGAGGCTTCTGTGGGGCAAGCCTGAGGGAAAGAAAGGGATAGGATAGGGGAGCCTTGCCCCACAATAGGGAGAGACCTACTGTTGAAAGGCCTCCAGGCTCTTTCCCGAAGGGAGGGTGGCTCTTCTCTGTGTTTCGCCATCTTACACAGGATACACCCTGGAGTTTGACTCCTTACAAACAGCGCAATCTAAATACATATTGCATTTCTTTATTCTAAACCCCTCAGCTAGGCTTGACATCTTCTTCAGTACATCGAAACTTGCATGCCCCAATCATGTATGCAACAAATGTACGCAAATGTCATGTGTGGGAGCATTCATAAGTGCACGTGCACAGCTATTCGCCTGCCTTGCGAGAACGTACAGGCCATCCTTCTTAACCCCTCGTGCGCGTATCCTTCCACTTTTCCTAATGGAGTACTGCCCTCCTGCAAACAGTATTTCATAACCCTGCCTGTCTAACCTGGATACACTTGACAGATTATGATCTAATGCAGGTACATATAGGACATTGTACAATGATGGTTGGTTGGCTGGCTGGCTGTTTGGTAGATCAATTGATCCAGAAGGAAACTGGGCTTATTTAACCTGAATGGCAGTGAAAGTCCTACAGAATCATTCAAGTTGATAAAACCTGCCTAAAATATTTCTTTAGTCACATGCTTTTTGTTCTGTCCATTTTGTCATCTAAACCACGGATTCCTACTAAGCATAGTTACTTCCCTTAGTGTATATCTTTGCTTTGGGAATTTCTAAATAAGAGAAAAGATGCTGCAGTGCCTCCTCGGTCTGTTCTGTATTTTTTTTCCCTTTCAGGAGAGTCTTGTGTCCTTTGAGGAGGTGGCTGTGCATTTCCACGAGGAGGAGTGGTCTCAGCTGGATCCTCACCAAAGAGCTCTGCATTGGGGAGTCATGCTGGAGAATTATAAGAATGTGGTCTCTCTTGGTAAGGGTTTCCTACTCTCCAGTCAAAGAGTTCAGGAAGACATTTTGTAGTTAATGTCATTGGTTAGTTCTTATGAAAACATCTCTAAATAGATATCCCCTCTTCAGAGGGAGAAGGAAAAGTTCTGTTTTTCTACTGCTCCTAGGAAGGAAATGGGTCTATGGCATTCTGCTTTGATGTATCCTATCCAATTTTTTTTGTATTTCTACTGAAACATTTTAGTGACAAAGTAATTCCTTAGTTTGAGGTAATGCCAAACTCCATCACATAGATTTCAACTATTTTGGCCCAGATGCTTCCATATCATTCAGCTATTTTGACTTAATGTCTTTTTCAAGGTTTTATGTCTCATCAGTAAGGATATTATCATTTCTATACCTATTATATTGTTATTATACTATAATATAAGGATACAGATATGCAGTATACAGTATATTAGAATTTGGCACAATTAATATGACTTCTGACAGAGTGATCTTTTTCCCTAACCTTTCTCTCACTTTCATTTGTCTTTCCCTTTGAAGGTGAAAATGAGAATGACAATAAAGACTCTGGAGAACCAATCAAAGTCTTTAGACAAGGAGATGTAATGGAGAAACCTGCAATTCAAACAGAATTCCAAAGGCAGGAGGGAAATCTGTCAACTAACTGGAATAAGAAAAGCTCACCTTCGATTGTTGGTCAGATGCAGGAGTTTATTGATGAACGAGGAAAACTAAAGAAGCAATATATTGGGAAAGGTGTAAGACTCTTCAAAGAAACATTAGATGTAAATGGACCCTGTCCATCACAAGCCAAAGGACCAGCCAAAGACAAAGGAAAAAATTACAGTTGGATATTCCCACTTTCTCAAGAAAATGGGTCTCTGGAATCACAGAAAAGTTTTCACATGGGAGAGAAGTCAAATAAATGCAATGAACATGGAAACAAGATTGTTAATAAAAGGACATGCAGAAGGAAGAAGCCACATAAATGCATGGAGTGTGGAAAGGTTTTTAGCCAAAAAAGTGCCCTTATTACCCATCAAAGGATCCACACAGGGGAGAAGCCTTATAAATGCTTGGAGTGTGGAAAGGACTTCAGAACAAGCAATGATCTTGCATCCCATCAAAGGATCCACACAGGGGAGAAGCCTTATAAATGCATGGAGTGTGGAAAGGACTTCAGAACAAGCAGTAATCTTAAATGCCATCAAAGGATCCACACAGGGGTGAAGCCATATAAATGCATGGAGTGTGGAAAGGGCTTTCGCCAAAAGAGTGCCCTTATTGGCCATCAAAGGATCCACACAGGGGAGCAGCCATATAAATGCATAGAGTGTGGAAAGGGCTTCAGAAGAAGCAATATTCTTAAATCCCATCAAAGGATCCACACAGGGGAGAAGCCACATAAATGCATGGAATATGGAAAGGGCTTCAGCACACCTTATAGTCTTATTTCCCACAACATAATTCATAGACTGGAGAATCCCCAAAATAAAGATACATTTGGGTGAGAATGTATGCTAATTATTGATTTAATGGGTTCTATGTATGGATTTCCAATTTACAAACTGAACTTCGAAAAGGGTATTTCTGCTGTTCACCCTCCTGACAGCTGTAGAGAGATGAATTTAGTAATGAAAATAAAAACAATGGGCATGTGTCATTATAATTATGATTTATACTTTTTTGAATGTATCTGTATATAAATTATATAGCAGTGTCAAATAGGTTGTTCAAGGGGCAGTTACATCACATGCAGGACATGCCCACTCCAGCTCAGCGAATGGGGAATGCAATGCGTCACGTGATGGCAACGTCATGCGGGGAGTTTGAAACCCGTGGTGTATAGGTTCATTTTATTTTATTGTTTAGAAATGAGCTTCCTGTTCCCCAACTGCCATCATTCCCCCAGTTAGTCATAGCTCTCAGAGGGATGCGAAGACATCTAACAGATGCTGTTTCTTTAAGCCCAAAAGGAAAATATCAAAAAAATAATCAAATTGCACCCATGGTATAGAACTGGGATCCCCAAAAATAATTATATTTGCACCCTCAGTGTAGAACTGAGACCTGAGTCAGCCGGTATCTATGCAGAAACATTGAACATTATTCAGTCAAAGGCCTCATGATATGAGGAAATTGTCACATGCAGATCAATGAAGAGTGTGTGCGAAGAACTGAAAGGATGAACAATTCCTCTCTCACAAAAGGAGCCAGAAGTGCCCAAGTGCTTGTGTAAATTTCTTTTCAAGCATTATGGCCATATTTTGCTCTTCAGTAGTATGGTGAGGGCTAAGAAGTCCACATTTGGATTAAATAAAATTAATTAAATATCAATGGTGTGGTTTTGTTCTAGTCATGTATTATACTCATCTATTAAACTCTTTAGTTGCTTTAAAAATCTATTAACACAGGATTTTTGGAAGGATTTGGGGGGGGCATATTTCAGGATTTGAGAGGCTCACGTTAGTTTGAAACTCAATTGTCAGTAATAGTTCTGGATCGAGCTGAGCAATAGAGACGGAAAAGAGCAGAGAGGTTAACTCAGTTTTTTAACCCCTTTTTTCTTTCCATGTACATCCTTTCTTTCACTAATGGTAGCTAAATCTCTTCCCCCCCCCCTTGCATTGTCACCTCCATATGCAGAGGAATCTCTTCAAACCATTGGAATCTTCAAGTCTTGTGGTTGGAACGTTTTTCTCTGTTTGTTTGTTTGTTTGTTTGTTTATTTATTTATTTATTTATTTATTTATTTATTTATTTATTAAATTTATATACCGCCCTATTCCTAAGGGACTCAGGGCGGTGAACAGCGAACGATAAAAATACATGTAATACAAACGTTAATAAAAAACCAATTAAAATATACTAAACACTCTGGTCCTAGATAATTCAAGACATCCCAGTTTAAAATAAAATCAAAAAGCAATATAAAGGGAAAGTTAGGCCAGGCTGGCCTGCTGAAACAGGAATGTTTTGAGGGCACGGCGGAAAGTGCGCAGATCTGGAATCTTCTGTATCTCTGGGGGGAGCTCATTCCAGATGGTGGGTGCCCTCACAGAAAAGGCTCTACCCCTGGGGGCCGCCAGTCGACTGTTTATCTGTAGATCATGAATAAATCCCAGTCTCATTGCTCAGGCTGGTCCAGGTTCTTTCTTTCCACTCAAAGGCATTTTGGGTCATAGAGATAAGCCAGAAGGGATAAGACTTCTCACAAGCTAGAATGATCATCTAGATTCTAGAAGAAAAAAAAAAGTATTATGTGTAGCATGGATGAATAAAGGAAATGCAAGGGAAGACAAGATAGAAAGTGGATAAGAGAAACAAAGATTACATGAAGGTCCACGGGAGGACTGTAATTTAATTAAATGATAACCAAAGAAATTTAATAGTTGAAAGTTGCAGTTATATTGAGAAGCTTACTCGGGTTTCATCCAAGATTTAAAAACTTTTCTGCAGCTTGTTCTTGCCTAGTTTTTTTTTGTCCTGCTGTGTAGTTTTATGTCTCTCCCAGGTTTGTTTCACGTACCTCCCTGAACACAGAGGAATGGCTTCTGACGGATTTCCTCTTCACCAAGTGGTGAGCAAGAGCACCCAGTGAGTCTAGGAGAAATCCTAAATTCTGAATCATGCATACATCACTCTCAAAGATGAAATTTTCCTAGAATCATAAGGTCTGTTCTGTTCTCATTACATTACATGTTACTCTGTGTGCAGCTTGACATGCAGCTAAACCCAACTATCCTCCAATAAAATAGATCATGTGACTAGGTCTGGAGTACATCTGAGGGCATTTAGGAACAGGATGGGTGAAACTGGAAAAATAGAAATACAGGTATTCCTCGAGGTACGAACCTAATGGAGCCTGCCCATTAGGTTCGTACCTCAAAAAATGTGTCAAATGAATCAGATTCAATTTTACAAATTTTTACAATCAAATTCATTAATTGAATGAAGTGGCTTGTTAAATGAATGAAGATTTGACTTACTTCCTGCAGGCCACTGCGCTGATCAGCTGATTCCAGTGCAGCTGAAGGAAGAACTAATTGCGTCCAAGCAGGCTCGCAGAGCTCTCCGTTTGTAGTTTTAAAAAAATCCACTTGCTGCTCATCAGCTCAAGCATCTTCGGACAGCTGCCCAGATGGGGTTTGGTGGTAATTTACAGAACTCTCAGGTTGCAGTTACTTTTTTTTAAAAAAAACCTCCTGCCACTACAGTAATTCACCATCCCGAGTCCTTCAGGAGAGGGGGCGGTATACAAATTAATTAATTAAATAATTAAATAAATAAATAAATAAATAAGCTTAAGAGTCTCCAGCCAGGCTCCCAGAGGAAGATGGGGGAGGAATTTACAGAACTCTTGGCTTGCAACAGTAGCAGAGATGGAAGGGACCTTGAGGTCCTGTAGTCTAACCCAGGGGTGAAATGCTCCCGGTTTGGACCGGCTCGGGCGAGTAGGTAGCGATGGCGGTGGGCAGTTCGGAGAACCGGTAGTAAAAATCCCTGCCCCCCCCTCCCCATGCCCAGTTGAGCCACACGATCATCAGAGCCCTTTTTTTCTTTTAAATGGCTCTGACCAGCCAAGCTCTGACCATCCCAGCTGAGTTGCCTGCTAATCAGGCAATTCAGCTTGGATCGCCAGAGCCATGTAAAAGAAAAAAAACTTTTTTCTTTTAAATGGCTCGTAGCAAAAATCCACCCTCCCCCCCAGCTTGCTTACCTTAGCTACATTAACGCCTTGCTGTAATCCCTGCAATTGATTGCATCAGAAAGCAACTGATCTCCCTGCCTGCAATCAAGCAGGCAGGGAGTTGTGGACTTCAACTCCCAGAATTCCTCAGCCAGCAAAGGAAAGCTGGCTGAGGAATTCTGGGAGTTGAAGTCTACAAGTCTTAAGGTTGCCAAGGTTGGAGAGCCCTGTTCAATTGGGTAAGTTTTTTTCCCCTTTGGGAGCTTTAAAAAAATAGTTAATTGGGTTTTATTTTTAGTTGTTCTTTTTTTAGACTTAGCCATTTAAAGTTTAGGAAGTTTTAAATTTAGCTGCTTTTATATAAAAATAAAAATAAGTTAAAATAATATTTGTGCAGCTTTCTGAGATTTAGTGTGTTTCTGTAGTGTTTCACTCTAACTACACAATCACACAAAATCTCACAAAGCTGTATGTGGAATTTTGTGTGTGTAAAGTGTGAAAGTTGGTTTTTTGGGCTTTTTGTGGCTGTGTGAGGTTCCTGCTTGTTGCAGGCGCCATTTTGGGTCTAGCACAGCTACTTTTACATTATGGGTGAGCCAGTTGTGCTGTGTTGTGTTTTGTAGGTTAAAAAAGGGCAAAGAAGTGACATTGACTTGGCCATGCCCACCTGACCAACAAGCCACACCCTCCCAGTCACCTTACCACCAAGCCATGCCCACTAATTAAGCCACGCCCACAGAACCGATAGCAAAAAAATTTAGATTTCACCCCTGGTCTAACCCACTGCTCTCAGGCCAGACTCTCCATACAGTCCATGTGTGAAGAAAAGCCAGGCTTCACAAAAAAGGATAAAAAACTCATAAATAGCTTGCAAATTTGAAAACCAGCAGTTTAGAGAAGAGATAAAGGTACACCACATTATAGAATGCTTTGTGTAGATGCTGGCTAGCATTTTTACAAGCAGTTTCAAAACAAATGCAAACAAACTTTATCTTTGCAAAGAACTGTACTTACAAACACAATACTGGCAAACTCTAGTACAGTGCTTAAAAAGAAGCAGAGCAGTTCCCAAAGCAGGGCCGACAGGGGCGTGTGTATGCGTGTCCCTCTGCAAGGACTTGGAGGCAGACACCACACCTCTGAGGAAAAGAGGAGGCGGTGAAGCCCTGGCTTTCACCCGGTAGGGGACAGCGGAGGAACACGTCACACGCCCCTGTCGCCCTCTCCACCGCTACTTTTGCTCTCAGCTTCTTGGCGTGGTGTCTGCTTCCCTTCACACACCTTGCACACGCCGGGAGCACCAAACCGGAGCGGGAAAGCGTGCACGGGAGTGAGAGCGCACAAAGTTGGCCGCTGTGGAGCAAGTGCTTGGCTTCCCCTCTTGCTCCTCACAGTTGCCCTGAGCTGAGCCAGGGTGGTTCTTTACTTGGGCAGCCCCAATGACCACAGCAGAAACAAGCAGCGCCGCAACAATGAGGTAGAGCAAGATTTGTAAAATTGTTCAGTAAAAAATAGTGCATCTCCGAGGGGCTTCTGGCAAAAAACAAAAAAACCACCCCAAAACAAAAGCCAGGCTTGCAGCAACAGTTTGGAGCTTGTTAAACATTCCTCCACCCTAGCCATGTTTTTTCCAGCCCGGGCTGCTCGGCAGGCA